CCCCCCCCCCAGCAGCTCAACAAGCAAGAACTCCAGTTTTTAGTTGAATTTTCTTTGGCTTAGCTCAACCAATTCTCCCAGTCTCTGTTCCCACTTAGAATCTCATGATGACACCTCCCATGTCCCACCCATGTTTCCACTTCAGTATTTTCTTTTCTCTAAAAAGAGTGTGTCCAGAAAGAAAGGAATTCAGCCAAAACGAGTCCAGGGGCTCATATGTCATCACCAGGGGATAAACCGCCAGCTGGGGAGAAGCAGTACTAGGAGCTCGAGATGATGCAGCAACCATCTCGTATCTTTTCACACCCTTGGGTGCCCCATCACTTCTTAATGCAGAAGCCAGGAGAGGGATTCTCAATATTATTTTAAGTCCTCTGGGAGGAGACACAATGTCTGTGTTACATGGGATGTAAGCATTTCCCCTGAGTGTCATGCAAGAGAAAGGTAGGTGATGGCCGTAGCCTCCCATGGTTGGCTAAACTCCATCTTTTCCTTCATTCTTGTTATTAATACCCTTGCACTTTTGCAGTTACCTGGTTTGAGGTGGTTGGCAGAGAATGCAGAAATATTCTGAGGCCCCCTTTGTCGAATGAAGGGTCAGTCTCCTTTTCAAATTTATCAGGTGGAGAGTCTGGAAATTTCCACTGAATTGCAAATCTCCCCTGGGTCTTTCAAGAATTATTATTTGTTTTCTCTCTCTCCACGGTCCACGGTCTTATCTTTTATCTGGGTAACCTTTTTTTTTTCTTCAGAAAATACAGCCTATAGCTATACTCCTGATGTCTGAATCGATCCTTATTTAGGAACACCTCCAATGGAAACTGAAGTTATGTATAAAGGATCCTACATCTCAATAGAGGGACTGATTAGAAACCAACAACTTCGTTAACTTTCTCCTTCCCTACATGCAGGCTAAGGTCAAGAGTCCTGGAGGATGGGGTCTAAAAGAAGAAAACTGACCCTTTGTACATAAAATTCATCGGCAAAAAAGTGAAGACATGGCTTACAATGGAACATTTTTCAATGACTAAAGATGAAAGGAACTATAGGTAAGTGTGCCAGGTCTTTTCAACGAGAGGAGATAAATGACACAATCCCTCCATATTTACCCCTTGCCTTCCAGCCTTACAGGATGCAGCAGAGGACCAGAAAGACTGCCCTTTGGGGTGACCGGTCCTAGATCATTCCACTCTGTCCCGTATGTCCTTCAGTGTCATCTTAGAGCATTGTGAGATACTTGCCTTTCATTTGAATTTTGCCTGCGGAAGCCCATGATCACTTTGCGGAAGACATTCTACAGGGAGGGAAAGGTGAGTCCTGACAACTGACTTGGTCATGGCCCGTAACAAGAGGAAGCCTGACACAGTCTCTTTAGAATTAGAAAGGGCCTATGTTTGGGACCAGCAAATGGTGTATGGTTATGTCTCTAGACTCCCATGTACTCTACCATGGTTCGAATCCTGGACCCAGTGGTTTGAAAGTCATGGCAGGTGTGTGTGCATCCATGCCTAGAGGTGTCTCTGTCTTTCCAGCAAGTGGATGCACCTATGGCAAAAATCTCTCTCTCAAAAAAGGAAATGTTGACAAGGAAGAAGAGCACCAGCTGAGGAAATATAGTAAAGAGGAAAGCCCAAGAGAGGAATTAGATTATCCAACTTCTCCCATTTTCCAAGTGTTTTGCCAGGCTATTGTCAACCTTACACTACAGGATCTGGGGAAGACTCCAGGATAGAACAAGTCACTGAATCATAAAAGATGAAAGAAAGCTATTTCAGGCCTCATGGAGACATCAACATTCAGGAGTGGGTGGGAAGATTTGTTCCACAGTTAGAATTGAGACTCATTATCCCGTCACCTAACTTACAGGTCAGGTTCAGTTCACTGGAGTGTTTTTACAGTGAGCGACAGAGGGTTGGAAAGAGTTTCCTGTGGGGTGACCAGTCCCATCTCCTTCCACTCTACCTTGTATGTTCTGTGTTTTATCCCAAATGTTCTGTTTACATGTTGCTCTTTGCACTGAAAACTCTCCCTGCTCTCCTGTCGAATCCATATTCATTTTCTAGTATTTATTTTAAGTCTCTCTCTCTTTCTCTGTTTGGTCTCCATTCTATGTCCCCCTCCCCTTAGCAGCCTATACTTACCTATAGCAGTCTGTCACACGTCTTCATTATTCTGTCATTTTCGTTAGGCAGCAAGCTACATGAGGGTAGTGGCAAAGTCTGTTTTATCTCTGGATCACTAAATACAGCATCTGGCACAACGTTCACTGACTTACTGACAATAAGGCAATTTCTATAGATGCTATAGGAAAGGGAGATTAAACAAATCCCTAGAGAGAAAGACCACAAACCTGCTTTATCCTAGACTAGTGTCACAAAAATCGAATAGAGCCCACGTTTGTGAAAGGGCCTTAGATTGATAGTTGAGTACAGTAACTATCATAGACTGAAAAGGCTTAAGGAGCTCACCTCACCATACTCAGTGTACTTGAAGTTGACACTAAATAGGTAGGCGTGGATGACTGACTGAATGAATCAATGTAGTTTATTCCTGTTCTTCCTTTTCACGTGGTCCAACTTGCCTTAAAATGTGAGCACTTAGTGGCAATCTGAGTTCAGTTAGACCCTCTAACTAAAGATAGGAAAATTCTTCATGAAAAGGGTAATTTCATATCATAGGTGAACTAGAGGTCTCAATTCTGATGACTCATGTGACAGCTGAGCACTCAAGGTGTGAATGGGGCTATGCTTATTGGTAGTCTTCCAAGGGCAGTAACAAGTCAAGCCTAGATTCTGGTGTTCTAACTCACAGCCCAGGGCTTTCTCTACCACATCTGTTGTCAGTTAACTGCTGGAAACTTTTAAACCCTTTGCAGGGTTATTTCACTTATTCTTTACAGCATTGTATAATGGAGGAGCACAGAAAAGTTAAATACTCTTTCCAAGGCTATTAGACCAGTAAGTGAAAAAGCAGGAATTCAAAGCTAGGCAGTCTGACTCAAGTTCTGATACTGGTTAAATGACAATCATATTCCTCTCAAAATAATTTTTCTGATATTTTTTGCCCAACTCAGATGCTTGGTGATTTTGTTATTATGCTAATGACCTATCATCATTTAAGCTCCGAGAATAGAAGAGGTGAAGATTGAATTCTCTGGCATTTTAGTACTTTAGTTTTAGCTATCTTTTATAGAAAAAAATGTTTCCAGCTCTAGAACCAATCAGATAACCTCAGTTGCTTCAAATCCTAACAGGATCTATGATTGGAGAACGTGAGGTTATGCATGCCATACCATGATAAGTAAGTCTCAGGTTTGTTAAGAAAAGGATCAGTTCTCACTAGGATTGTGTTCGTGTTGTCACACAGGTCGAAAAGATAGTGGCTCCCCGAGCCCGGAAGTAGGCAGGT